AGGCTGTCGTCGGCATTACTGCCACCAATTATGCTGAATTGTCACGACGCTATGATATCAAAGTACTGGGAAATATACCAACCGAGTGAGTCTTTATGTTCCTTTTCACTTTGTGACATTTCTCAACTTTCCAAATCTGAGGTCTCGATGAGTGTTGGGAAAAGGGTAGCCTGTTACCGCCCGTGGTACTTTTTTCGGGTTACTACAATGATAGCTACGAGTGGGCAGCAATTAGATGAAACTCACATATAGCTCGACCTATGCGTTGTGACGGCACGCGTCATGATAGTAAGCTAAGAGTAGGTAGTGGGGTTGAACCAGTATTTCCAAAGGCCGAAGTTTCCCAAGTGCTGTAGTTCTCCGAAGGCAAAAGCTAAATAGAGCCGGGTGTGAAATAATGAGCCTATATATGGCTGCCTGGCTGTTTTACACTCGCTCTTATCTGAAATATCGTCCTCCAGCCTAGTGTCTCTGCGTCTCTCTCTTCAACGCATACTCATCCAACGCTGGGAACCAGTCAATAATTATTTGTGGCTTCTCGGAGGTTTCTTCTACCCTTTTTTCACTTATGACTCAATTGTCACTAACATACTTTATCGACCTTAATACCTACGACTCAAATGGTGGAATGTGCCTGTTTAGGTGAAGTACCGCATTTGTTCCAGATTTCCTCCACCTTCACTGCCTCGCTTCGACCTTATTCAATACATTGGCGTTAACGCTGTCGCTATTGCTTTGACAGCCGTTGCAATTCACCTTACTGTCGCTAAAATTGTTGAAAAACGTTACATAATACAAGTTAATACGGGCAGGTGAACAACTTTTCGTTTATCTGTGACACCATAATGGTCGAATTCAATGACACCACTATAAGGAGCTATATGCACTCGGTTTCGTCGGCGTTTTATCGTCATTTTTCCCGGTATTTCCGGTTACATCTGGATTTGCTCGAAGTGTCGTTGGAGCTGCTGTTGGCAGTAGTACACAGGTAATTGTGATTCCTTTGGAATTTGGGTATTAGCAACGTTGTAGGTTGACCGATACGAAGGGAGCCCTATTTCAACGTTCGAGGGAAAGGGGGTTTTGGGGGGGGGGGAGGAAATCGTGTCCGCCTTTGTGGAAAGGGTTTTTGACTGTTGGCTTTCTTGGCTTTTTCTTTTTTGCCCCACTTCACATTCGTCACCTTTCGTTACGTCAGGTACCCTTTTCTTCTGTCCTCCTCGCAAAATAGGAAAACTTTGGAAAAGGAAATTGGACGGAAGTTAGGGGACTTCCAAGAGTTAGGATGGGGATAGGACAGGGGGTGGTAGTCTCAGAAGAAGAAATTTTGAGGGGCTCGTATTGTGCCAATTTTTTCCAGCGGTGCAAAAAGTGCAGGACGTCGGTAAAGGCGATCAGAGCTTGAAGTACTACTATGAGTGGTTTTGTGAGCGTGCCTGGTGTTAGCTGGAGAACGTTTGGCACGCAACACGAAGAAACGAGAGAAATTACATTGATAATTTGCATTTTACAGTTGACCTGTCTTTTCTCATCGTTGGCCTTAGTTCTGGTCATTCTCTACATCGGACCCGCACTGGAATATCTCCCGAAATGCATTTTATCGGCTATGATTATTGTGTCACAAAGGGCTATGTTTGCAAAATTCGCTGAACTACGAGAACTTTGGCCCGTGTTCAAAGTCGATTTCGTGAGTTCTTACAGTCAATTCTGTATCTTTTCCGTCATAGGGTATCCTGAAAAAATTTGGAATTGACGGCTTCGAAGCTCGCGAGTTGATGATTGGTGGCAATATGAAGCATCCAATCACGCCAGCATCTGCGGCACACAATAGCCACATCTGCTGCTTTTTACTATGAATATAGTAGCTTTATATTTATAGACTATATGGGTGATGAGCATGGTATTGACAGTCTGCTTCGATATGGGAGAGGGACTACTTCTTGCCACAGGGTTCGCTGTCTTAACAACGATAATACGGATGCAGAGGTATGTTGAAAGCACTTCAGTGAGTAGGATAGAGTCAATTGACCTAAGGTATCCTCAGCTATTCCGCAGGCTGCCTCTCGTTCTATTCGTTTCTCTTTCGTATTTCGTTTTTCTTTCGACCCTGAATAAGTAGAGTGAGAGCTCTCGAACGTAATCCACCGTGACTATTATGGTGTAACAGATAGTTTCAGGCCAAAATGGCACTTTCTTTCCCGCGATTCTGAATCTGACATTTTCAAAGAGACGAAGAAAAAACATCTAGAGTTTGTGGGAGGAAATGTATGCGTATTTCGCATGGACGCACCGCTCATTTTCACGAGTATCGATCGATTCACAACGGTCAGAAGTCTTCAGAATTCATTCATTAGCGTAAGACAATACATAGGAAATATTTTTCGGTAGTTTGTGGGCCTTGTGCTTAGTGTGCAAAGGCGATGCTGGGGTGTCAGAGGAATAATCGCGCGCAGCCCACTATCCTTTCTGCATGCATGCACAAGCGCCAGAAAGGATAGTGAGCTGTACGCGATTGTTCGGCCATCGTTGTAAGAAGCTGTGTCACCGCATGGGACCTCCTACACGCTCAGCACGACCTTTGGCGTAAATAAGAAGGCAGGGGCACGATGGCCGAAGGGGTGGGGGGAGAGGGAGGGGGTCATTGGTGGAAGGGCTGCGAGAAGACGTTTCGCCCCACCCCACTGATCCTTTCCATCAATGACGTTGGCAGTAACCGCCACCCATCATGCCCGCTGCCTTTAATCAAATTTCAATTCAGGCAGTGTGGCAATCGGTGAAGACTTTCGAACGTTCCAAAGCAGATTCCTTCGTGACAATCGATCAGATGAACTCGCGCCAATACGGACGACATTTTTGAAAAGGTTACATTACAACTTGTTACCAGCTCGTCATTAGGAAAAAAAAAAAAGCAGTGGTATGGTTTTCCCCTTTTGACGCGTGTACAACAGAACGAGGCAGTTGAAGGCTCTTTTGTAGCGCGCAGCAATCGAGCTCACAGGCGCTCCCACTCCACCAAGTATGGCCTATGACTGGTTTAGGAACAAAGGACGTTCCTTTTTGACTGGGACATGCTTTTGTTCCCATACCTGGTGGCTTCAAGGGTGTCAAGGCAAAGTTAAAACAAAGTTAGCATAGGAATAATATGGAACCTACTTTGTACTTCCAGGTACTGCTGTAACCTTACAGTGCAAGAACGAGAATCGTTCTTTTTTTCAGAAAGCTCGTGCAGCTTACAAAGGTATGGCTCATGAAGACCGATGTCGACTAGTTATTGACTGCAGTGGATTCCCTTATGTGGACTATCTTGGTCTAACGACACTGAAAACAGTGAGTGAAGTGTTTCTTACTACTACCAGATCTTACTCGATTTTCACTGGTAATTAAGTGTCCCACATAAATAGCTAATTCGGTCATTTTATCTTTGCAGGTTGTAGCTGATCTCATCGCTGCCAACGTTCAGACGTACTTGGTAGTACAGAAAGGTAATTACTAGTCTTTGACAGGAACCTATTCAGTCTTTGACCGTTCCCTTGGCTTCATAGCCTATAATCGTTTTGTTATGTAGGTATAGCGCTTGATGGAGCTTCTGCTGGTAGCGTTCCTGAGCACCTAGTTTTTGTTTTCTAGAGTCGCCCACTGAAGGGTGGGCTGCCATGATGGAAATGGGCTGGCGCTGCGCCAAGACGTATAATATGTATGTCGGGGAGCCCACCCGGGGCTCCGACACTTTTCGAAGTTTGGCCTGTATAGAGGGTTTATTTTGAACAGCACAGGCTTCTTTCGAATTGGCAAGTGGGCGGATTTTTCGCTTTTTTTTTCAAAAATAAACAAGGGGCAAAATTTTACAGCTGGCGAGACGCAGGACAGGGCAGCCATTGCGTTGTGGATCATTTTCCTGAAAATTGATGAAACCTCCCCCTAATTCCATACTCAAGTAGCGAACTCCCTGCCCATGCTACCTTTCCACCCAACTTTGCTAGACTCTCCCCAACCTCCTACCACTGTTGGCCCATTTTTTCTTCCGAAATTCTCTGAGTTTTTACGAAATTTTGCTGTCGAGCGAAGGGGGGAGGGTGGCAAGTAACCTAGCGTGCGTCAAGCACGTCCAGCACTCTGGCGCTGGTGGAGCATACAGACAATACGTACGAGGAAGGGGCGATGGTAGGAGCTACGATGACCGCCCACAAGGGCACCATATCTATAAATAAACCAAAGGACTCACGACGTGACGATCAATAAACAGATGAAAGTACATTTTCAGACCTTTCTGATAGCAGGAACACATGTGCTTGCGCTCAGGAAGCCTTATCTAGAAGTTGTACCTTCCAGCACTCTGCTGAATAGCCTATGCATGGCGGCAATGTGCAGAGGTACATCGCAATTAGAGCCATGAACATATACCGTGATATACTTGAACGGAAAACATGCGTTTTAGAAGCATACCGAAGTCCATGTGCGACTTTCTTGCAATCTTGGCATGCTGGATATCCTTTTCGTATGTCTTCAAGCCTGTACAAGATTGGATGGCTTTATTACTAGGCCTACGTTTCGGCGTCTTCGCCTCGTCTGAGCGGCCTGAAATGGACAAAAAACAGATGCAACTTGCCCGCTCAAGCGCCTAAACAATCTCAAGACAATTTCCCTAGACTAGTAAAGCACCCAACGATATCAATCAATAGTATTATGGCTCACCTGATCAGCCGCCGCTATGCGGGGTCGACCACCCTGAGGAACACTCAATCGAGAAGTAACCAGTACTACTAACCCTCCTCAACCTCACGGTAGATCAAAACTTGCAAAGGTCGAGGAAGGGCGCCAGCTCACGCGTTATGGCCACACACTCTCCCTTTCTATTCATCTGAGGGTCCTTTGCCGTAATCCAGAATGCCTCCAATGTCTTACGCGCTGTGATCTCGGCCTCCTGCGCTAATATGGTCACCGACACGTCGAATGTCGTGCCTTCATGATGTTGAAACCCGATGGGCTCCAAGCGGGTATAGGCTCGCGACCTACTAAGTCCCTCCAGATGTTCTTTGACCCGCACACGGAGAGGACGTCCTGTTTCCCCTATATACTCGCTGCCACAGCTTTGGCAGTGTATCAAGTAAATGACTGCAGACTTCATGCAATCACCCTGCTTGCCAAAGGGGCAAACGACACATTCTGGAGTGTCACACAATGTGTCGTACAGGCGGTTGCGAACCAGAAGACGTTGAAGGTTAGATGGGGGTATTTCCACAATCCTAACTTCGTTTTGCAGATCACACCTGTGTTGTAGTGATCGAACTGCCTTACTCACTTGATCGGAAATGAAAGGGCAAGGCAAAACAAACTTTATTAGGCATCGATTGATGGCTGTCTCTAGGACATGTGGAATACCCCCTTCGCGCCACCTCAGAGCAAGGATACCCATTGGATAAGGCAATGCCCTGAGCGATGTTCAGGGATTCTCTTTTCAACTCCCTATCAGACGAAACCTTACTGGCGACCCTGTACATGTTGCTTACTACAGCTTGCTTGGTTTTAATCGGGTGAGCCGAGGAATAATGAACCAAAATGTTCTTACTGCTCGGCTTTTCGAGATAACCATTTGGTCCTGACTGCCCCACTTAAGTAGCTGGACTTGAACATTGAGGAACGGCAGCCAATTCTTGACGGGTTTTTCCCGTGTAAATTTGATGTTATTCGACTGCTCATTTAATAGATCGAAACAGACATCCATTTCGCTCTGAGTTGAACATATAATGAGACAGTCATCGATGTATCGATGGTATAGAATTGGTCTGCGGTCTAGCACGGGTTCCTCGACTTTGGACATGAATACTATGGCTAAGACAGGGGCTAGCCGCTGTCCCATAGCAAGGCCTCTCAGCTGTTTGTAATAATCACCCGCCCATCTGAAAATAGAGCATGCTAGGCACTCCTTTAAGACTGTCATTACTTGTGAGATCGTGAACCCATAAAGATTGAGGGAGGATTCGTGCTCACGAAGCAACTCGTAAGTGGCCTCCAGTGCCGCGTCATTCGATACATTGGTATACAATGATGTCACGTCAAATGATTCTATGACGCTATCTTCTCGAGGGTTGGCACTGGTAAGTTTATCTAGTAGCATGCTCGTATTCGTTAAGTGGGTCTAAAGGGTCAAAAAGCATTTGTGATTGTGTTCGCTCTAGGGCTAAGGCAAGACTACAAGAAAAGTTCAATAGGTTGGTAGAGCAACAACGATATCACATATCACGGGCGGTCTCACCTGGTAACTCAAACACTATGACCAATAATGAGGGCACTAGTAATGTGGAGCAACCAACAAAAACGCGGGTCACCGTTTTAGGCAACATCACTCTCTCCTACGATGCGGTTCAGTTGCTGGAAATGGGTCCAAGTTTTGCTCTCACGCAGTTCCATGACTGGCCCAGTGTCTCACGCAAGATCGTGGGTAATCTGCAAACACTTCACGATCGCCTCCGATATAGAGCTAATGTTGAACAGCGGGGTGGGGGCGTGGAGGATAACTCGAAAAGTTTCCTGCACTGCCTTTTCCTAGCAATTTTTATAAACCACAAGAGCCCAACAGTACTGTAGACACTAAGTTCCGCATGTTTGCCACCTCAATTTTCAGAATAGTGCGGCAGCATGCTGGGAAGCGAACCATTCCCAACCTTACGCCATCACAAATGCGAGGTTTCAAAGAAATACGCGACGGCGTGAAGGCTGGCAGGATACGTTTTTGTCAGTCAGCGACAAAGGTGGGGAATTTGTGGTTTTACCGCAAGAATCTCGATAAGGCAATAACGAAACGGCACCTTCAAGATGAGACCTTATATGGCAGATCGTCGGAAAAGGAGTACAACAAACAATATCGTAAACTTAACAGGACTTGGTGTAGTGTGGCGAAGGTGGCAGGCATACCGAACACCACAATCAATCGGCTCAAGTATGACCTGCCGATCTGTCCTGTGTTGTACTTACTGATTAAGACCCACAAGCTTGCTTTGTCTGATTTCGGTTCGAATGATCCTGGCACATTCAAAGTCCGCCCCATAATTAGCAACATTGGGGGACCTACTGACAAAATATCATGGTTCCTTAACTTGATCCTTGGACAGCTTCTTCAGTACGTGCCCGCCCACTTAACGAATACGAGCATGCTACTAGATAAACTTACCAGTGCCAACCCTCGAGGAGATAGCGTCATAGAATCATTTGACGTGACATCATTGTATACCAATGTATCGAATGACGCGGCACTGGAGGCCACTTACGAGTTGCTTCGTGAGCACGAATCCTCCCTCAATCTTTATGGGTTCACGATCTCACAAGTAATGACAGTCTTAAAGGAGTGCCTAGCATGCTCTATTTTCAGATGGGCGGGTGATTATTACAAACAGCTGAGAGGCCTTGCTATGGGACAGCGGCTAGCCCCTGTCTTAGCCATAGTATTCATGTCCAAAGTCGAGGAACCCGTGCTAGACCGCAGACCAATTCTATACATCGATACGGGGATCAATTTATTTATTTATTTATTTATTTATTTATTTATTTATTTATCATGCACGCATAGGTGCGCTAAGCATACAAGCAATAGGCTTAGAGTAATAGAACAACCAAAAATACGATTACCATAAAAAAATTTCGGTAACACAAAGCAACCGAGGAAAGACTTCACTAAACTACTGGATTCAGGAATCCTGAATGCTTAGCAAGGTCATCAGATCGACCTTCTTTAGTCTCTTTCTGAACGTGTAGGTGTTAGGCGCCTCTAGCAGATCTGATGGAAGTAATTGGAGATACCTTGCTCCACGGAAAAACAGTGAGTTGAAAACTCTGGTTCGGTGGCCATTGCACAGTTTAGGACATTGTAAGGACAACGAGGAGGTGCGACCATTTGTCGGTCTGAACACCCAGTATTTACTGGGTTTCAGCCTAAGCTCTCCTTTCAGTATCTTGAAACAAAACATAATATCATTGAACACCCTTCTATACATCAGTGATTTGAGGTTGAAAATGTGTAGGCGCTCCTGATAGCTAGGCATACTATGCGGATACTCAGGATCGGGAAAACAACGATACATCAAAACTCTCGTAAAAGTTTGCTGCACCTTTTCAATTTTCACCTGGAGCTTCTTAGTATGAGGGCTCCATATTTGCGAACCGTATTCGAGAATGGGTATGACGTATGCTTTATAAAGCTTCAGTAAAACTGAAGAGTCGTTTTCTCGGAATATTTCTCAGGATTGCAAAGAGGGTCACGAGAGCTTTGCGAACAATAGTATCTATGTGATGCGAGAAATCCAAAGTGGAATTTACGAGCATCCCAAGATCGCGAACTTCTCTCGAAACACTTATGGGGATGCCGTCGACGGTATACGGTACAACTATTGCTTTTCCTATGTGAAGTACAGAAGTTTTCATAAAATTGACTGGTATACCCCAAGCAGTAGCCCACCCCATCATGTTACATATAGATTGGGTTAACGCTCGGTGAACGCAGTCATGGTTATAATTGTCATAGACACCATATATTTTGATGTCATCGGCGTACATTTTAACGCTGACCAATGGGTGAGTGTTTAGGCAGGCTGGAAGGTCGTAGGTGTACATCAGAAACAGCAAAGGAGACAAGACACCACCCTGTGGAACTCCACTAGTGCAGGGGAAACTCTGTGAAAAAGTATCACCCACTTTGACAAACATGTGTCTATTCTTCAGATAACAGCTGATCCAGCTAAGGATGGGGCCTTCGATACCCAATTGCCACAACTTGTATTGGAGCTTTTCATGATTTACTTTATCGAACGCTTTGGACAAGTCGAAATAAATAACGTCCACACCCTTCCCCTTGTTAATAGCTAAATTCCAATCGAACAGACAGTCTGCCATAAGGGTACCTGTGGAAGCACCACTAATAAACCCATGTTGCTCTGCGGGAACCAGATTGTTCTTGATCAAATGGGATACAATTTTGTCACGCAAAATCTTCTCTAGAGCTTTAGCGGGGGGTGCCGTTATTATACTTATAGGACGGAACGAAGAGACATGCTTAGGCTCAGGTACCTTAGGGATGGCAGTCACGATAGATTCTTTCCAGCTCATCGGGATCTCACAGAACATGAGAGATACATTGAGTATCATACAAATAGGTTTGCATAAGGAAAGGGCACAATTTTTATAAACAATTTGTGGAATACCATCGAAAGGAACCGAAGTGGAGCACTTGAACGATCTTAGTATTTTGTAAACGTCTTCATTTGTAACCACACACTCCCTGATAGTTTCAAGAGATACACGACTTTCGGAGCTTACGTCAAGGTTTATGTTACCCGCAGAGGAGAAAACGGAAGAAAAGAACTTGGCGAGGGCTTCAGCTTTTTGTACATCAGTTACGAAAAGATTTCCTGCATCGTCATGAAGCACAGGTATACCAGTATGAGTCCTAAGCCTACTTTTGATTAGCGCAAAGAGAACTCTTTTGTTTGGGCTATTGATAACCCTTTTTTCCCTATAAGACAGGAATCTCTTTAAGTGATGATCAAGTTCACGACAAACGTTTTTGTACTGAAGAGCTGACAATGGGTCATGTAGTGACTCAACATAAAGCCGCGCTTTCTGAGCTAACAAATTGCTGATATGTCTCGGATATTTCGTTAGTGGCACAGATACGGAATTGAAGGGTACATACTTAGATAGTGCTGCGTAGACAACGCGGCAAAATCTTTTGTACATGTCCTCACAAGAAGCATATCCATCAAATACGCTCCACCAATCTATAGAGGAAAAGTATTCCGATAGCGAAGAGTAATCGGCTTTGGCGAAGTTGGGTAATGGAAGTTTTGTCGGTCTAGATGAGGAAATGATAAGTCTAAAAGATATTATGCTGTGATCAGACGCTGCTAGAGGAGGTAATACCGAAACGTTCCTAACAATACAAGTGTTGGATAGTATTATGTCCAGAGTAGACTTTCCTCGTGTGGGCTTACATGCTGAACAAAGCCACAACACCGAAAGAACTCTAGAAACTTAGCGGAAACAGGATTGTTGGCCCTGCCCACTTTCCAGTCAACATCGATATTAAAGTCGCCTAGAATAACCAGATGCCTATTCGAAGTACATAGATCGAGCAAAGAGTCGATGAGGGTACTGTCATCATCTGACGTAGAATTAGGTGGTCTATAAACAAGCACAACCCTAAACAGAACAGCGGAGGATATGTCATAGCCATCTAGGCAAAGTAGCTCAGAGTTGAGGGAAGCTGGGCTTGCAACAGAAGCTAGAAAAAATGCATTCTTGACTATACAACAGACACCCCCACCCTTACGCTCCTTACGATCAAACCGGAAAATATTGTAGGGGCGACTTTCAAGAAGTTCGGAATTTGTAATTCTCGGGGAAAGCCATGTTTCGGTGATGAAAACCATATCTGGGTCGTAGGTGTCCAATAAAAAGTGCAAATGGTGCATCTTATTGCTTAAACTTCTAGAATTTAAAAGGTAACATCGAATACCCGTCAGGGCGACAGAGTCAGCGCCAATGTCTTGTGGGAGTTGGGCCACATATCACTGGGTGCTGAGACATTCAACTAACGACCAGCGCCCCCCCCCCTCCTCTTTTCTTCCCAATGGCACTGATGTCGACGCCACGACTCCTAATTAACAAGAACTATCTTCGATGATTAACAGTGAAAAGCAGCCTACACCATGGACTCCTCCTTTCCTAGGGCGAGATGAAAGCTTTACTGGCAGTTCGCGTTAAAAGAAAAATATCTGCAGTGATTTCAAATAGTTGCATCAAGTAGCTGTTCAAATTATGTATTACGCATTTTTCCCCTAGTATGTTACACTAGTACCATAAATACTTTTCAAAAAATCATTTCAATTACGTACCAGTACAAGATCGAATGGAATGGGAAAGTTGAATGCAGTACTCAGCCAAGGTGAGATGAATTCCTTTCCGAAGATTAAAAACCGCCATAGATGATAAGGAAATCGCTAGGGTAGGATAATGTATATTGCCAATATTCTCAATGAGATCGAATACTCTCTGAAAAATTCGAATATCAAACAGACTTTTCTACCTCAATTTCGGCCGAAAAGCATATCTTCCGATCCGCAAAGCATGAACACATGCTAAGAGCGTAGTCATATTTGGCGACAAACCTAGTAAGTGGAACAACAAACAGTAAAAGACTTAGCTCACATAATACAAGTAACCCGGCCCACTTCTTCTTCGGTAACTTAATACCAAGTACATCACCAATCTGTGCAAAAAACACGTGTACTCCACCACCAACGACGAATCCAGACATTACTTGTTCCGAGAAAACTGTTGTAATATACTGTAGTCGAAATACACCCATGAGCACCTAAATTGAGAACTTACAACGTTCTTATTGATCGGGAGGACGAATGAAAACCAAATCATGACTTTCAGCTTTGATGGGGTTCGTTTTCAGATAAGCCACGAGCGCGACATCACAACATTTTTTTCAGCCTACAGAGTGGCTCTCTGACCCAAATATGCAAGAGTCCAGTACCAACAAACAGCCATGGTTTATATGTTGGCTGTTGTATTCCTAAAACGTATCCCGGATCCCGGATGTTGAGCGCGACTTGGCTGCGTAACACTAGGGGGCAGCTGAGCTTTTGGTGAGACATTAGAGTTTTGGGGCAATTGTAATCATGTCACTGCCCGCACAGGACAGGATAACAACTTCCTCAAATGCAGGTATGCTATGGAATACGGACCCTAACCATGTTTAAACTTGTAGGTTGCCATGCCTCCTCTCTATGCAGGATATCGAGAGTATTTGATCATTTCAGCGGGTAAAAATAGTAACCTGTATGCAGCCAGCGAAGAAAATAATAGTAGTAGCGACGTGTATCTCCTTTACTGGACTAACACCGTCTGTCCACATTTCTGTAGTAATTTCTTCGATCAGCGATGTGCCGTTTCCAAGTCTTAACCACAGAAAGTAAATCCGAGTAGTTCTTAAAAAATATGAGCTTATAAATCAAATCTTTATCTTCCTGCAACGTAATTGCTTCAAGGCCGAATTCGCGATGAGCGTGTGGGCGCGGTTATCTGGAGTCACTACTATCCTTGAAGGAGCATTTGGCAATCTCATTGTGCAAAACCAGTTTTGCCATAATTAGTATGAGGGCTGTTGCTCACTCAAAGGGGAGGGGAAAAAGGAGCTAGGTGGACGTAACTCCGAGCATAATAAATCTATTCGAATGACGTCACTATCAGTTTTGCGGGGAGTCTTTTGAACACCCTTCTCCAAAATTTATTCAGCACTCAATGGTTGCCACCTCATTCTCGGATGCTCCGGTACGATCCCTTTTCATAATAGGCCGATCATCTCACCATAGTTGCCAATCGCTCGCAAGGGTGGAAGGTGCCTTGTCTGCTCAAAGAATGACCATTTATTCCGTGATATACGTAGTTCGTAAACCTGAGCGGTATAAGGAGCAAAAACCATAGCAGTGAGTGGTCAGTAAGAGTGCAAGTGTTGCAAGACTTTGCACATGTTCATTTAGCTTGAAAGAAACACTTATGTGTGAGGTACCATGAGCTATTATAGCAATTTTTGAAAGCCCTAAAAGGGCAGAAATGTCGCGGAATTGTTGGTTGGGTCATCCGCCGTGGATTAAGCATGTGTGTAGTGACTTATTCCAATGTTTTAGTGGGCTTTTCGATCGGGGTACATCAGGGCGTTGTTCACAAGTTCCCATTCTCTCATGAGATTCCATTTGAATTGAAATAGATAGAAACCCCTCACTACACCATCATAAATAGTAGTTTTGTAGCGGCGCCGCCGACCAGATTGGATGGCGGAGTGATAAGCCACTAAGTGTAGGACCGGAATAATTCGAAAACCTACCGTATCTTTCTCGTGGCGGGACCCGCATGGATTCGTGGCACGCTGGCTCTTTGCCATTCGTAATACTAGGGACGTGGAGAGTTCTGTTCTTTCTGTCAAGGATGTAGTGCTTCCGCGTTTCCATTGCTGTGCGAATTGAAATCCACTTTCATGTTCCCGCTCGCATAGAGTATACCGATTTCCTCACTCGAACGGCGACATGGAGTAGCCACAGAAGCGTGACTTCCATTTTTTCATTTTTGTGCAGCCTGCTTGGAAGCAACTCTTTTAGACTTATGACCGACTCGAAGAGGAGCACGAAATCTACTTCACAGTAAGAACGGAAATGCTCCAAAGGACATGATGGACTCATTTCAAAGCTGTAAAATATTTTGATAAAAGAGCGATTGAATCTCATGAGGTCTCATGCTTCTACAAGGCTTACGTGAGAAATGCCAATCTTGTCAGTGTTTTCCAGGTAAAGGGCATTCGACTAAAGGTTTTCCGTACCCGAATAAGTGCACAAGGCAATCGTTACATGATCACGGGAACCAAACCTCTCAAAAGGAACTGTTTTTCATGGGATCAGACAGCGGCTTTTCCCCATTTATCGTTGTGGTTTTGAGATAGGCTACACCATAAAACTTAATATCATTCTTCTTTAAGGGGCAATAATAAATCCTACATCAGGAACGCTCGGCCCGAAGGATATCAGCGAAACGCGGTGTCGCAAATCTACCTTCCATACACCTACTTCTATACTAGCTTCGATTTAAGTTCAATGATGTTCACCTTTTCGGGCACAAGGCAATTTTATTCGGAGATGAACGCCTGTAGATACGAGGCAAATGTTTCAGGGAAAACTACCACGCGGTCTCTTAAATGTCCAAGGACGGAAAAATTTCACGATTTTCATGGATCGATCTGTCGTTTCTGTTAGCAGTAACTATGGCATAGTATCGTATAACTCTAGGATGTCAGTTGATTTGTTCCCACGGGATGTATTCAGTTGTGCAGTGATGTCCCACATTGACCACATCAGATTAGACGAGAGAGCTCTATCATGATACGCAGAAATAAAGCCTCTTGCTCCGTTGGCAGACGCAAAATGGAGTTTTAGACGAAGTTTCGAAACCAAAATCCCCATCTGAAAGCGCGCATCATCAAGATGGCAAGATGCTACCTTGATGATGCGCGCCGCACGTGTCGCGCAAACGTTGTGAGAGTAGATGCGTATCCCGCCACGAAAAAGATACGGTAGGTTTTCGAATTATTCCGGTCCTACACTTAGTGGCTTATGGCGGAGTGGGGGGGGGGCATAATGCGCAAAACTGGAGACATCATGAAAAAAAAGTGAGAAGACGGTGAAAAAAAGGTGAGATTTCAGGCGGAGTTCGAACCCGCTTGTCCCGCCACTAATTACGCCATGGAGACCGTTCAACAGCACAGGGAGCGCTTTATGCTGTTCGTAAAGATGTGACGATTGCCATATGGAAAAGTTTCCTACAAAACTACTGCATTTTTCATTTGTATAATAACTCTGGTAAAGTTACCCACACCGAAGTCCCGTTGAGGCCGTCCAACGTTGGGTCTAGCTCTTCTATTGTGTGATTCACGTACGAAGTAGCATTGTAGCTGATCGCTGTCCTCATCATCACCTTCTCAATAGCCGTGTGTGTCATGAGAGATAGAACAGCAAATCCACCTGAAGTGAATTTTTTGGAAAGAAATACGGAGAA